CTCATTCCAACTCTGCGGCAAATTTCTTGCCAAACGTCTCTTTTTTGGTTAACACTTTTACAATCAGCATTTGATTTATCATACAAGATAGTGTCTGAACCTCCAAAATCAGGCGCTCAGTTTGATCGTCCATCGCGTCGCGAGTTCGGTCAACCGGTGTGTGTGTGAAAGTTGACTACAGTGCTTTCATCTTCCCTGACTACCCATATCTGATTGGCTGACGTTTATCGTTGCCGATAACTATAAAAAAAAAAATCGCTTCAAAAGTGATTCGACCGATACGATAACTTTATCGCTCACGATAATCGTATCGTTATCGTTATAGTGTGACCACTTCCATTAATTTACACCACACCGATAATTTTTATCGTGTCGGTATCGCTATCGGTATCGTTATCAGTGTAGGTGTGACCTGGCCTTTACACAAGCGAATTAAATTATTCGCGCGAAGCGAAAGCGTCGGTTTACTTCCTGAGCTCTGATTGGTTGCGCGTTTTCTCGCTTCGCAAAAAAGTCGAAACACTTCGAACTACCGTACTGATTTCGGTAAAGCGGAAAACAGCGATAGAAATGTGAATGCGTATATGCGCATGAACCGACGCTTTCGATTTGTCTAGCGGAAAACAGGCTTACCGCGTGTGACAATAAAATAAAGTGTGCAGATGACTTCATGTGACGTCATTACATTCTACGTCCACCGTCGCCGTGCAATCGAAATCTCCCAATTATTTCTCACAGATACTCGATCAACACTTAATGTGTGTTTGATATACTGTAATTGTTTTTTCACCTTATGAAGTTCGACACTATTCTTTAGGGATTTTCCCACTTGTTATTTCATTGAGATATAAAATATGACCTCTCACATGGTATTATAACAAACGCGTTCTGTCAAACTTTAAACAACTGACCAATCGGAACTGGGGCAGGAATAAACACTAGTCGCACTAACGCACGTTAGTCGCACACATCATCTATCCACAATTAGCTCTAGGTAAATAACATTGAAATTGTGTCTATATTGACATATGTTTCTGGAACACTTTTTACTTAAGTTATTATGTGGTTCATAAAACAACTTAATAATTCATTTCAACCATTTCTCGCTTTCTCAACTCGTTTTCGCCCGTTCTCAATTAGTTTCAGTTTGACATTCCTTTAAACTTTATCCCGCCTACTTTTCATGGTGTGCAGTTCGTGGTTACATTATATCATTGGCCTGTTTTCAAACTCTGCAGTCTTTTCCAACTCCTTAAATGTTGTTCTAAATCATTTTTGTTGGTGTTTTGGGGGTGGAGAGGGGAGATGTGTGGTGTGTAATAAGTAGGCCTATGAGTATCCGTTTTTGTATATTGTTGTGATCTTATGGATAATAGCCATTGATGGATTTTGGAGCGTCATGTCATTGAATTGAATTTACATTAGTTAACTGCATGTATTTGTTTGTTAGCCTAGGTTAAAGGCCTATTTTGAGTTACTCACTCCTTATTGCGCGCCAAATCTAATTTATTTGGCGTCGCATACTCCGATTCCTTCCTACCTTTTCGGTCCTTATTCTGTCTCAAAATTAACTTGCTCGTTGGTGGCGCTGTCTAGAATGAGAAATAATAATCAGGGACTTGTAGCAAATCTGTGTGTCTAGGCTACTTTATAGTATTTTATTAATTATTCACTATTTGAATGCTAAAACAAATGCTTGTTCACGTTCTGAATAAAGACACTCTATCTCATTTCATTTACAGCCTCTTCGTTTACACTGTGAGCAATGTGCTATAGTTGCTAGCTCAGGGCGGTTATTAAATAAAGGAGCAGGATTTGATATAGACCAAGGTGTATGCGTAATTCGAATGAATACAGCGCCCACAAAAGGATTTGAAGAAGACGTTGGCACTAGAACAACTATTCGTGTTATTGGACACAGTAACCTTTACAATGTTATAAACAAAGACCAAAAGTTACAAAATATGTTGTTTAGTGATGAACGAACGCGGACGGAAATGGTTATTGTGTCGTGGCTTTTTTATGATGATTTTAAAAAAGAAAAAGACGAAGCTTTTCGAGTAACTAAGAATTATTCAAAGGTTTATTCAAATGTTTCTTTCTATTATACAACGCCTGCTAAAGTGAAACTAGCTGAAAACATCTTTATGGAAGAAACAGGAATTTCTAGGTAAGTAAATGCCATGTTATTCTATCGAGTGGTGTATAGGGATGCCCACAGTACTTTCCCTCTCTGTGATATAGGCCTATTAACACAAAAAAAAGCACAAATTCCAAAAAAGAAATATAACGTGTACAATAAAATTGATATATTACATTTTGCTTTAACGCTCTCTGGTTTAACCCTTTGTCACAGAGTGCACGCAGAGTGAAGGACTGTGTGTTCACCCTGCCCTGACTGTAATTGACCAGTACAGGGCGGAATTTTGTGAGGTTTGCTACAATGTATACACAGAGTGAACACATAGTAACAGTGTGTTCATAGTGCCGACACAGTGTGGACATTATTCCACACTGTGGACACACGTGTCCACACAGTCAACACAATTACTATGTGCTCGCTTAGTGCAAACCTTGCCGAATTCTGCCTTAGTCTATATAGTCAATACTGAGTGAACACAATAAGTATAGCCTTTCACAGCTTCAACTTTTATTTGAATTTCACTCTTGAAACAGCGGCACTTAGCATTTTTGGTGCATCAAGTAAGTTACAATAACAATAAAAAGATAGTATAAAACTCTGACTTAAGACTCGAGCTATTTAAAACTAAATTACATAAAAAAATGTGCGTAAATTCTGCGACGTTATTGTAATGGAAGTGTGCAATATTCAGTGTGAACAAAACACAACGTCACACTGTCAACGAAAGATTCCTTCTAGTGGAGAATGTACAGTTGCTAAAATAGTACACACTGTATGTACGTATTAAGGTATGTGTACATGTAAATTGTACCTCCTTATACCATTGACAGAATGAATTACCATACCGGTACATTGTAATGGCAGTTTTTATTTATTCTTCGGGCCCGTAGGTAGGATAGGGTGGGGGAGGTTAGTTTTTTGAGCTTGGAGAGCCCCGATGGGGCTAGGGGACGGAAGCCCGACACCTAGCATTTTAATTGAGAGGACCAAAGATCTTATAAACACAAGATAGCGTTCTCCACGATTTACGCGTGCAAATTCTGTAATAACGCATGAACGGCGCCCTCTTGCAAAATTGAAAACTTTTGAACCTTGACCGCTCTGACCATGGCATACGCCGCGCGACTTTACGTTTACGCGTAACAATTAGAAGCGTCCGATTTACAATGCACATTCTCTTTAGAACATAAGGAACAAATTAAGGTACTTGGTAACGAACTTTAGCGTAACGCAAACACCCTATATCAGATCCATGGCAACGACTAGGACGCCCTCTCCCAAAACTGATTACTTTTCCGTGCCAAATCGACGCTTCTATTTCGCGGAGAACGGCGCTATCTTGTGTTTCATCTTTTGAGAAGACCTAACAAATGAAATCCAAATGCATAGCATTTTGCAATAATTGGGCTTTGGCAATATAGAGAAGAATACAGATATTTTGTGTGCAATGGTTTGTTTCATACTCCTAGGCCTGCTTTATCTGAGCTAATAAAATTAAATAATTGAATGACAATCGATGGCGGCATCAGCGGGATGCGATTTTTTTTCCCGTACGAAACATTTGCATGAAATGACTCGACTCGAAAATCTCAATTCTGGAGGTCAAAAGTCGTCAAACGTCCATTTTCTGAGATACAGGCTCGTTACCATGCTAATATAATGGGTCGTTTAAAACGACATATGTAATATTTGTTTTCGGTGCACGAATAATAAAAAGTGTTAGGCCCTATTTGAATTTGAGTTACATACTGTGAACATTTTTATTTTTTAGTTGGCCGCGGTTGTGGATAATTATTGAATCCTACCGGTATGTCATGACGAATTCGAGTCAACTCGGCCCCAAGTCAACTCGGCCCCATGTTAACTCGGCTCCATGTTAAATCGGCTCCAAGTCAACTCGGCCCCAAATCTACTCGGCCCCATGTCAACTCGGGCCCAAGTCAACGCGGCCCCAAGTAGTCATTTCGGCCCCAATTTACTGTATATTTATTGAATATTTACCAAGAGATTTGAATGCAAAGCCAAAATTAAAGTGTTTTTAAATCGTTGCCGCTGTTATTTCTTTTCATCTACACATGCCTTACAATAATTAATTGCATTGATTAAAATTGTGTTAAAATAATATTAATAAAAATATAAAAAGGCATATAGAATAACTAATGATGTCGTACTTGGGCTCAAGTTAACTTGGGGCCGAGTTGATTTGGGGTCGAGTTGACATGGGGTCGTGTTGACCTGGGGCCGAGTTGACTGGGGCCGAGTTGACATTTTTTAGCGGAAAAGTCCAGTGAACCACTTTCTGCGACCACCTCTTGTGATTACTTAATAGACCAGCCTACGGCTCTCTCTATTTTACCTCGTCTTTATTTTTTATTTTGGTGGCGATTACCTTTCAAAGAACACCGGTAGGCGGTAACATTCAATACCCGCCGCTCCCTTAGTTTATATAGGGTCTGTGGTTTATTTTAATGTGTTTGCCTAAATTTAAACGCCGAATGGGTTTTGTTTTGCAGTGTCATGTATGCCTAATATGTTTTTTTGTTCAAACCAGTGGAGGGGGTGTTTTGGAAGAGGCACAATCAAGATTCACAGTTACTAGGCACATACACTTCGGTAGCTGAGAGCGAATGATACATGATATTATTTAACTGATCGTATACATACAGGTTCTTGTATATCAACATACTGCATGCGTCAATAAATTTATATATATATGCCTAAGGTGTAGCCTGTAAATGAGTTCCGCAACCTTTGTACTATTTAACTGATCGTACATACAGGCTCTTGTATATCAACATGCATGCGTCAATAAATTTATATATAGGCCTAAGGTGTAGCCCGTAAATGAGTTCCGCAACCTTTGTACTATTACTTACTAGGAAGAAAACTCACTATCAAACCTCACATTCAACCTCTACAAGATCCTTAACCTTTTTTTTTTCAATTCGTGTGGTCAAAACAACTTCTACAATATCACGGCGCACCACTTCGACTGTGCTACACCTAACACTACGACTCGCTAATCGTCGTTCTCGAAGACAAATGGTACCGTACTGTAGTTGAACGCATTAATTAATAGGACAAGGTAAAATAGAAGCCGAAGAGAGTCACTTTTAAATATCAATATTATGTATAAACAGTTATGAAACTCCTTGAATCAGTGGATCCTAACTAAAGAAAATTTTACATGATTATTTGAGGCCTATAAACACCCAAGGAACGTATTTAGATGTAGGCCTCTTGTTAAGGAGGCCTGCGTGTCGTAATATAGATGAAATTATCACACGAGTTTACCTCTCTGCACCGACCAAAGACATTACAGGAATTCTCTAATAGCTCGAAGAAATTGTTATTTCTTTGACTAATGCCTGTCAGAATAATGAACTTCTTATAAGTTCTTTAAACACAATCAAAATATACGGTATTAATTGTACTATATACCATTCAGGGGCGGATCCAGAAATGTCCAAAAGGGGGGCCGGAAGGGGGGGCCGGAAGTTGGGCCGATTGAGACAACACTGTCGTAGGGGGTCCGGGGGCATGCCCCCGCGAAATTTTTGTGTTCTAGACGCCTGAACGTAACATTTGAGACATTCTGGGCTATTATTTTTTTCTTTTTCCCTTCCCCCCCACCGACCAAAGACATTACAGGAATTCTCTAGTGTTAGCGCGAACTGCAGCAACCGCATACCCACAGCTAAATGTACATAAGCGAACAGATGTACTGATCATGTGTTTGCCTAAATTTAAACGCCGAAGGGGTTTTGTTTTGCAGTGTCATGTATGCCTAATATGTTTTTTTTTGTTCAAACCAGTGGAGGGGGTGTTTTGGAAGAGGCACAATCAAGATTCACAGTTACTAGGCACATACACTTCGGTAGCTGAGAGCGAATGATACATGATATTATTTAACTGATCGTATACATACAGGTTCTTGTATATCAACATACTGCATGCGTCAATAAATTTATATATATATGCCTAAGGTGTAGCCTGTAAATGAGTTCCGCAACCTTTGTACTATTTAACTGATCGTACATACAGGCTCTTGTATATCAACATGCATGCGTCAATAAATTTATATATAGGCCTAAGGTGTAGCCCGTAAATGAGTTCCGCAACCTTTGTACTATTACTTACTAGGAAGAAAACTCACTATCAAACCTCACATTCAACCTCTACAAGATCCTTAACCTTTTTTTTTTCAATTCGTGTGGTCAAAACAACTTCTACAATATCACGGCGCACCACTTCGACTGTGCTACACCTAACACTACGACTCGCTAATCGTCGTTCTCGAAGACAAGTGGTACCGTACTGTAATTGAACACATTAATTAATAGGACAAGGTAAAATAGAAGCCGAAGAGAGTCACTTTTAAATATCAATATTATGTATAAACAGTTATGAAACTCCTTGAATCAGTGGATCCTAACTAAAGAAAATTTCACATGATTATTTGAGGCCTATAAACACCCAAGGAACGTATTTAGATAGGCCTCTTGTTAAGGAGGCCTGCGTCGTAATATAGATGAAATTATCACACGACTTTACCTCTCTGCACCGACCAAAGACATTACAGGAATTCTCTAGTGTTAGCGCGAACTGCAGCAACCGCATACCCACAGCTAAATGTACATAAGCGAACAGATGTACTGATCATACCACTATAGCAACCGATGACTTCGACAACAGTTTGAAATTATAGGCCCCTACTTAGAAAACTAACATTAAAAAATAATTATTATACTTGGTTATATTAATACATTCAAAAGATTCATATTCATACAGGCCTTGCAGGTCTTCAGGAATTGTTTGCATGCGTTAATCTACCATCGTATAATGATTTCCACTAATATATGATACGCAACTATACTAATTGCTCACTGATTCACAGATTCTCATCAAGGAAATCTCCGCTAAGCGCTGCCCCTTGGATATTGTTGAAAAGACAGCGAAAACGTCTTGTAAACAGTGTGTTTGTCGGGAAAAAAAACCATGTGTTTGTGGGGCAATCGCTTATTGGCTTTGTTCTAATTGGTCAGTTGTGGAGTTTGTATTGACATTCCGGAAGGGTTTCTTTTCAAGGCTTAGGTGACACACATAATTTTTTGCCTTTATTTGTGGGTGTGGATGTGAGTGCGTGTGTGTGTGCGTCAATGCCATCATCGTCGTTATTGAAACTTCTTTTTACTAGTGCCAAATACCATAATTCACTCCTCCTTGGTCATTTAGGGTGACTTTTGATGTATTTTCCTAATTTACAGATACATCTTTTAGAAATGACACTGATTGTTTTTGGTGTTTTGCATTTTCAGAGAGGCGGCACGGACGTGGTTGTCTACGGGATGGATGACCATGTTATTTGCAATAGATATATGTGACTGGATTGATGTATACGGTCTGGTTCCCGATGATTATTGCAGGTACGGTTTTGGCGGAAATGTAGGCCTAGACTCAAGTAGTTAAAATACCACCTTACTGTATTTTACCAACTGCACCCACTCATTTTTATCATTGAGCTATCCGACTTCACCTTCGCGCCCCACCATCATCCTTCGCCAATTACAATATCCTTAAACACGCCAATGTTCTAGAAGAGACAGAACACGAATACATTACCCAGCATAATTGCAGATTCCATTCAAAAATGCATCGACTCGAGAAAAGAAAACATATAAAGACGTACTTAATATTATTGACAAATAATAATAATAATAATAATAATAATAATAATAATAATTATTATTATTATTATTATTATTTGTTTCGTCTATTTCGACCCCAATAAAACACTAAGACCGATGCTTTCAATGCGTTGCTGGTTAACTTTATTTCTTCCAATATAACGGTACAAAAGATACCATTTCCAACCAACAGTACGGTACATATGATACGCCGTCTAACAACGTAACAATATACAGTCTAACCATCGTCACGATTGAACTACAAAATAGTAACAATAGATAATAAATAACGATAATCATCAATCAATCAATAACTAATCATATTAACAATTAATAAGACTTACGAATTGGTCCTCATATCCCATAATGGCATGCAAGGCCTATATTAAAAATACATGCTAAAACAATCATCTAAACTTCCAAATTATATTATAATTAAGTTATATTTATATATCGTATAATTAAGTCTATTTGCAAGGTGTGCTCGGCTTGGGATCGATAAAACAGATGAATCTTAAAACCGAAATCTTAAAATGCGAAAAGTGCATAAATATTTCCTTTGTTTTAAACTAACGACCGATCGTTATTAATGAGGTGAACTTGTATTTGGAACTAAAACCGTGAAAATAAGTAGAAAATATATGATTTTGAATGTTTTTTAGTCGCAAAGACTACGACGCTGACCTAATTCTCTTCACTGCTACAACAGCAGTGCGAAGATTGTCCTTGTTACCGCCTGTTCGCAGCCAGGCTTTGCATCGTGACGTACGTATGAGTGCTCTTCCATTTTCAGCCAATCAGAGTAGATACATGCCCAGAGTGGGAAAACAAAATATGAAAAATATACCGCCATGGTTACTGCATGGACCTATTAATAAGATTAATAATACTATTAGGTCAATGCTTATACGACTCCCGTCACGACTCAAGGAAAACCTGGATTATTATAAATGAGATACTTGGTAAAACCAAAACTGAAGTTGTTATCCCGGATACTGACAAAAGTGCCCACACCCCTAATATCGCTGATGCATTCAACAACCATACAATTGGTGTCAAACTCGCTGAAGAAAGAATTAATTGTAATAGCAATGCTAACTGTAATGATCATTTAAATGGAAACTATATTAATTCACTTTTTCTTCTACCTACTGAAGAGAAAAAAATAAGCTAAATTGTATCTAAAATAAAAATACTTAAATTCTGACAGTGCAGCTATTGCTTCTTTTATCTATCATATGTATAGTCTGTCTCACTCCACTGATCCCAACTTAACTAAAATTACAAGACTTTATCCAATATACAAACCAGGAGACAAAAATGATTTAAACTATTATTTTGAACAAATAGTTTATAACAGACATTACGCGTTTGTTGAAAAATATAACATCATCAATGACTGCAAATATGGCTTTCTTAAGGACATTTTATCTTATATGGCTACTCGATCACATTAAGAAAATTCATATTGCCATTAAAAATGATGTAACACCCATTGGTATCTTCATTTATCTTACCAAGGCGTAAACAATTATTAAATATATCTATGTATTCATTAAAAAAAATAAAGTAACTAAAGTTTATACAATCGAGCATGCACCTTATGTTCAACTTAACTTCATAGCAGCATAAACAATCAGTAAAAAATATGTAAAAGCTAATTTACGTTGAAAAAAATCACAAGTCGCTTTACTTTTCCGACTGTACATTGAAAATGTGACGACGACGATTTATAATAATAATAATAATAATAATAATAAAAGACTAAATAACAATAATAATTTATTAATGTTATTGTTATTGGAATAGTTAAGGTATTAATTTACATTGCGAATACACGCATCTGAAATAGAGGGTGGGTGGTGGAGCCTCCAAAGAGAGCAAATTCGCTCAAAATCACTTGAAAGTGGTCCGAAAGATGTGACAGTTAAAATAAAATAAATAAAAATAAAATATATAGCATAGCACTGTTGAGATATTGTTTTTGGAGGCATCAGTGTGGAATTGTTTCCTCACCATTCTTTATTATACAGTACAGCACTTACTAGTGTAGCAAATACCATTCAGGGGGTTTGTACTAAAAGTCTGTCGTTACAAATACCACTAGCCAATTATGGCAGACCTACAGTGTAGGCGGGAAGTTTGCTTAGGTCCAACGAATCAAAATGAAGGCCATTGCTTAAGCCACACTGGAAGCCTAATTTGCATACATCACCCTATATAAGTGTACGCGAGACTGTCTGCATTGCATTTGACTTTAGATGATAGCGGAGGCGATGTGGATAACGCAGCACTGTGTTGAAAGCGGATACGATTACTGTATATTCAAATTTAATTGCATAGAGCATTCTTGGTGACATTAATATATTATTTTCAAACGTTTCTTAATCTGTATAGATCAGAGAATTAAATATACTTTTTTGAATGTGTTTTAATAGTCTTGTTAATTCTAATGATTTTGTATTGTGATTATGTTAATTTTAATTAAGTTTCTATTCCTAAAATTGTAAAAAATAACTGGACCATTTGGGAGACCAGTACTTTTGTATTGAAAATGTATCCAGTCAAAAGAAAGAATAAATAAATAAATCGCGCCCGCAAAGACTACGACGCTAACCTAATTCTCTTCACTGCTACAACAGCAGTGCGAAGAAAGATTGTCCTTGTTACCGACTTTTCGCAGCCAGTCTTTGCATCGTGACGTATGAGTGCTCTTCCATTTTCAGCCAATCAGAGTAGATACATGCCTAGAGTGGGAAAACAAAATATGAAAAAGATACCTCCATGGTTACTGTAAGCTGATTGACTTTGATAAGGAATAGCGCCAGTAAACATCAGGCATCAAATTGTTTGGTGTGACGGTATAACCCTCTCCCCATATCAAATTTTAAAAACATGTTTAGACCAATTTACTGAATTTGTCATTGTATTTTATTGCTTTTTAGTTGTTGTTTGTGTTTTGTTTTTTATTCCATTGACTGCAATTTGAAATCATTTTTATGGGACCCCGCATGGAAGTATTGTAGTTGTTACTTTTTATGCCTTATCCTATTAATCAGGGTTGTTTGTTGCACTTTTACCTTTCTTGTCTTGTTTTAATTACATGATTAATGAATAAATTCAATTCAAAGTAATCAAAATTGATTTCAAATTGAACTTGGAAAATATTGCCAAAATTTTTTGCCAATGTTCCAAAAGATAATGGTTCCTATGTTAAAGTGTTTTATATTCACGTCTGACTATATCTATTTAGACTATAAATTATATTTCAACGTTTTTTTACTAACCATTAAACTTAACTTACTTTTATTCCGGAAACATAGGCTGTATGGGTTTAAAGAGAGCTATATGCTTAAAGGCTAAGCCTATAGAAATAAGCCTAATGCGCGTTATTTGTCATTCCTTTTTAAGAGGTAAAGACAGAAGAATTACCCATAACTCACAGCGTCATTGTGCTTAACTGGATATAGGCGTGGCCCGTGACTACCTAGCCGCCATAAAGGGGCCTTTAGAGAATAATAATAATAATAATAATAATAATAATAATAATAATAATAATTCCATTCAAAAATGCATCGACTGAAGAAAAGAAGACATTATAAAGACGTACTTAATATTATTGACAAATAATAATAATAATAATAATAATAATAATTATTATTATTATTATTATTATTATTATTATTATTATCGACTAGCACATTTCTAAAATGAAAAGAAGTTCATAATAATCAATCATATGACATGCTCGCAAGAATAGACTGAGAGATATTGCGTGTACTGTATGTTAAACCAGGGAACAGTTCCCTGGCTAAACAAAACTGTTACATGTTCATGAAGAGCGATGTATGCCGTCAATCAGATTTATTACTGCATGTCATTCTCTGGAGCGTTGCACACATTACTTTAGCGTTAGCATTATTATTTATCTGTTTATACAATGCCTATGCAGCCTACTCTTTATATATATACAAGTTTGAAAGGCAAATGGGAAAA